TTCTGATGAAAAAAAGTATAATTTTTTTTAATAATTTTATTATTGTATCAATAATAAAAAATTATTTGTATTATTATATTATATTTTTTAATAAAAATATTTTTATTTAAAGATTACTTGAAGAAATAGTTGAAATTTTAAAACCTTTTGAGAAAATAACAAGGCACGTTTGTGGTGCCAAATACCCTACAATGAATCTCGTATATCCGTACATTTGAATGTTAAAAAATAAGTATGCTCCAATAGCTAAAAAAGGTGAATCCATTGAATCTTGGTTAGATCTTATCTACAGACCCTTATCAGATTCTGAAGAAATTGCAGATAGTGATACAAGTGTTAGCAGTGATGACAAAGCTGACATACCATCAGCTGGAAGTAGAAAACAATGGCAATATGCGCATGCTTATCGAAGTGTATACCATCGAGAACATGGTTATAATCGTGTGAAAAAATATAAAAAAAAATGTGTAAATAGAATAGAAGAACTGGATGATTCAGATATAATAAGATATTTACCTTCTACAAACTGTGATGGGCTCTTAGAAAGAATGTGTGCCGCAATTTATTTGTCTCTTGACGAATTATAGGATATTACTCATAAAATTGGATTAAAAGCTTCTCTGTTAGATCTGTGCAAATTAAAGCTACTTTCATTTGCTACTTCTACTGAATGAAAAAATATAAAAAATCAAATTCATGAAAAATTACTTTTATTAGAACCTAACCGTAATAATAGTGATACAGAAAGAACACAGACTACTATAGAGGAAGATTGTGATTCTTTGAGCGCTGAATTATAGGGCCCACATTCAACACCTGTTTCACAAACTGCTGCTAAGGATGAATTAACAAAGTATTTGAGAGAACAAATTGTATCTAAGAATCAAGACCCTTTAGTATAGTGGAAACAAAGACGTGCAAGTTTTCTGTTGCTTTGTCAACTTGCCTGTAAATATTTATCTGTTTCCGCAACATCAGTTCCATCCGAACGGTTATTTTCCGATGCCAGTGCCTATATTTCAGCAAGAAGGACTCGCCTTTCTCCGGATTTAGTAAACCAAATGCTGTTTTTAAAAAGAAATAGTAGCCATTTTTCAATTTTATCATTAGACAATGAATAGTCTTTCTTATGAGTTGAAAAAAGTGATACTAATTCATTGATTAGATTTGTGCGACCATATTTCTAAAGATCATATAAGTGATAATAAAATAAGGAATTAAACAACAAAAAGTTATTGTTTGTGATTTCTTGACTCATGTAATTTTTAAAATTGATTATTAAAGAGCATAAATCAAAGTGTAATCAATTTTTTTTAGCCCAAAAGAGTATAAGGTAATATTTATTTAATTATACTTCAATATAATTACAAGAACACTTTATTTTATTACAAAGGTTTAAACATATATAATAACGCCTTCAAAGAATGAAAAAAATTGTATTTAATATAAGAACAATACGTTATATATCATTCAAGTTTAATAAATGTAGTTTTTTATATCTGTATCTTTGAAAGCGTTTAAGAATCTGACTATAAAACATACTACATAATATTAGTAATTATTCAAACTGATAAACATTCTAAAATTTTTTTTCAATTGTTGGCAGAGTATAAGATATACATACGTATGTACTAGGGTGGTAACTCAACTAAACTATGTGAGCAAACAATGGAAATTGATATATTACCAATATTGCTGACATAGTTTTGATTTACTTAGTTACCACCTATACATACATACGTACGTAATATTTACATTAGTCAGCAGATCTTAAATTATATATGGATATCAATTTGAAATTACAAATTTAATCGAATCGGCCTCAGGATTTATGATATGTATATTAAATCCGAATATATAATTAAATCCGGATATAATTATAAATCCGGATATATATATCCAGATTTATTTTTATATCCGGATTAATTATATCCAGATTAAACCCAGATCATATTTTTAATTACAATTATATCCGGATATAAATATAAATCCAAATATTAACTCTAGTAGCCCCCTTTTATATATATGTGGCCAAATTTTGGTTTTTATACTAACTTTAAAACAATTCAATCAAATAAAATTATAATTAACTAAAAAAATAAACTTCGTAACTTTGTTTTTTAGATTTGATTTTATTATTTTACGAAAAAATTTTGTTAATATCTACTTTAGTTTTTTATTTATAAGCTTTTAAAAATTATGTGTTTTATATGTTGATTTAAGAATGTCTGCACTATACTAGCTATAATCAAACCATTGACCTCGCCTATGAAGGGTTAGGTGTCTAGACCACTAGGCTATGGGATCCTAACCCCAGGAATGAAATTTTGAAATTTATTAATAATAAAATATTACATAATTTTTGGAAGCCTCCTTAGATATCAGGAGGTAGATCAATAATAATAATATAATAGTAATATACTGAGCCATCCTGGTATTTTACTCTTATTACTATTTGACTAAGAGTAAGATACTGATGTCCCAGCATGTTACTATTATATTATCATTATCAATTAACCTTCTGATATTTAACCAATATGCTACCAATATGCTATCAATATATTATAGTTATTTGGTAGATCTATAATAAAATAATAGGTATATATCGGAAGATTTGTCTTCTAATATATACTTGTTATTTATTGATTTAACTTATACTTGATATCGATATTTTGAATTGAAGTAGAATATCATTACAAAAGAATACCATACTAACTCATATTCTAATAAACTTGAATCAGAAGATGAAAAGAACTTAGCAAGCATATCTTGCAAGAGAAGAAAAAAGTATTAATGGATGCACTTACAAAAACACCTTTTTGGCTTCTTTGAGTTTTATAATATGAACTCAGATTAGAATAATAAAATATATTAAATAATACACTTTGTAGAAACAATCTCTGAAAGAATTGAATCTTTAAAAACTTTTTTTAATATCCAGATATTGGTTAAAAAAAATTAAATAATATTTAGATAAATTTATTGAATGTTTATTGAACATTTGAATAATTCTAGTGATTTAATATATTATTATTCATATATTGATTTTATTTTTATTTTTATTTTTAAATTAAAGACCTAATTGAAGAAAAAACATTTAGTGCACTATACAACTTTGTTTCAAATAAGATTAAAATTCATAATCAATATTTTGTATATAAATTTTTAGAATTCAAGTTATAAAAATCATAAAACAGAATGAATAAGAAATTAATAATAGATACATAAACTATTTCAATTAATAAATAATAATGACCAAACCAACTTAAATAAATGATTGTTTATTAATCAAATCAGTACAGACAATAAACTTAGAAAAAATAAAATATTAATTGTTGTGCCAATAAGAAAGATAAATCATATAAATACTATACTAACAATTATTTAGTCTTATAGCTAGTTGGAACTGAATCAATAGATTTGCTTAAAATTTCTATTATGTATTTCCAGATTACAGCTTTATAAAAATAAGTAATGACTCATACAATGTGAAATCATACCTAAAAAGAAGAACAGTAACTTCAATGACAAACTTATATGAAGAGAGACATTAGTAATATATATCAAAAAAAAAAAAGTAATGACTTATACAATGCAAAATCACAGAGACATTAGTAATATATATCAAAAAAAAATACCAACTTATACAACATGAAATCACATCTAGAAGAAAACAGTAACTCCAATGATGAACTTATATAAAAAGAGATATTAGTAATATAAATCAAAAAAAATATAATGATTTATACAATGTAAAATTACATCTAGAAAAAAATGATGACTCCAATGATAAACTTATATAAAGAGAAATATTAGTAATATATAGCAAAAAATATATAACAACTCATACAACACAAAATTACAAAGATGTTAGTAACATATATTAAAAAAAAATATATAATGACTTATACAATGCAAAATCACACCTGGAAGAAAAACAGCAACTCTAACAACAAACTCATATGAAAAGAGACATTAGTAATATATATTAAAAAAACATAATGACTTATATGACATGAAATTATATCTAGAAGAAGAATAACAACTTCAATAATGAACTCATATAAAGAGAAACATTAGTAATATATATCAAAAAAACGTAACAACTCATACAACATGAAATCACAGAGACATTAGTAACATATATCAAAAAAAACTATAAGACTCATACAATGCGAAATCACATCTGGAAGAAAAATAGCAACTTCAACAATGAACTCATATAAAAAAAGACATTAGTAATATATATTAAAAAAATATAACAACTTATATGATGTAAAATTACACTTGAAAGAAAAATAACAACTCCAATGATGAACTTATATAAAGAGAGACATTAGTAATATATATCAAAAAAAATATAACAACTTATAATGTAAGATTACAGAGATATTAGTAACATATATCAAAAAAAAATGTAACAACTCATACAATGCAAAATCACATCTGAAAAAAAACGGCAACTTTAACAACAAACTCATATAAAAAGAGATATTAGTAATATATATAAAAAAACATACTGACTCATATGATGTAAAATCATATCTAAAAGAAAAATAATGACTCTAATGACAAACTCATATAAAGAGAGATATAAGTAATATATATTAAAAAAAACATAATAACTCATACAATGTGAAATCACAGAGATATTAGTAATATATATCAAAAAAAAAACTATATCGACTTATACAATGCAAAATTATATCTGAAAGAAGAATAGCAACTCTAATAGTAATATATGGGGCATGGTCAGTTAAAAGAGGGCTTATGGTATTTTTTGCAAAAATAAGTTAATTATACTATTATATAAAAAAGATATTCTTCTATGTAATTTGATATTTAAAATATCAATTTACATAATAAAATTTTTGTCGATGCCTACTTTTTTAAATGCTATATACAATTAGATGTGATCTAAAATTAGAATTTAAAAATCCAGTTGTCAATCCTTGCTGCAGGTCATAGAAAAGCATTTATTTGATTGGCTAATTTATATTGATCCAACAGGTTTTACTAATAATAGATTGTCATTGTTATGTTATACCAAATTTGAAATATGATTTTCTCAAAATAGAAAAAATGCTATAAGCCTCCTTTTAATTTACCATGCCTCATATATTAAAAAAAACATAACAACTCATACAATGTGAAATCATATCTGGAAGAAAAATGGCAACTTCAACGACAAACTTATACGAAAAAAGATATTAGTAATATATTTTAAACCATAATGAATTATACAACATGAAGAGATATTAGTAATATATATCAAAAAAAAAGTAACAACTTATACAAAGTAAAATCACACCTAAAAGAAAAACAGTGACTTCTATGATGAACTTATATGAAGAAAGACGTTAGTAATATATATTAAAAAAAAAGCCATAACAATTTATACAAGAACTCTAGCATGAAATCACATCTAAAGAAAGAATATTGACTCCAACAATGAACTCATACTAGCAGAAAAGAAACATTACTACAGTAGTAATATGAAAAAATAAAAAAACAACGTATACTGATTTCAATAACAATAATAACTTCAATAACAAATAATGACGACTTTAACAACAAAATTATAACTGAAAAAAAAGAAAAGTTAGTAAATATGAAAGAGCAACATAAAGAAAAGAAGTATTATATAACAATATAAATACTATACAAAGAAAAATCAAAACAAATAAAAAAAAATTTATTTGTCAAAATAATCTTGTAATCACATATCACATATGCAAACAGATAAAAAATTTCTAAATTATACTGTATTATTAATATGTTGATTGCTAATAGTTATGTTGATACATTAAAAAGGAAGCTTTTTGTGGCTTAGACGTATCAAAAATTTAACTTTTGTATTACCATGTGTAAACACTAAATATCTATCGCTATACTCCAGCCAATAATAAATTTGATATAATTAAATAAAAAAATTACTTCAAATTAATTTTTATACTTTGAACTTCAAATAACAAAAGTAATAATAATAAAACTGATTATTTTAGTAAAATTATATATATTTAAAAATAATCAAATATAATAATTTTAATATTTTCTTGCTATATTGCAATATAATTCGATTATATTAGAATTATTTCAAAAAGCTTTAAATAAACCCACTTTAGCTATCTTTCTCTTCGTAATTTTTCAATTAATCTTATATTTGTTATAGTTATCTTACTTAATTCACTTTTTCTCTTATTAATTCCAATCTATTTGCTTTTACAAAATAATTAATTTTTTTTATTTTTACTTCTTTGCCTTTTTATAAGCTTTCATTATCTTTTTTATATTATTTTATTGTTTTCTCATACATTATCAATTATTTTGTACTATTTCAAATTTATTTTATTTTATTTTTTATTTTTTTTCTCTTTTGCTTTTTTTTTTATTTTATTTTTTTTTTATTTTTTATTTTATTTTTTATTTTATATCCTTTACTATTATTATTATATATTACTTATACAAATAGTATCAAATAAATCTAAATTTCATTCAACTCATAATACCAATGGGTGTGCACTGTTCGCTCAAATGACTTCTAGTTAAAAAGTAGTTACCATTATTACTGAGAGGCCAACTCTACAATATATTGATCTAGTTGAAACTATTTTACAACATTCTTCAAGACCTCCCGATAGTTAATTTTAAATAAAATAATTTGTTTTTTTTGTTTTTTATTTATTTTTTTTTAATCTATATTATATTTTAAAATAATTTAAAATTAAATTACATTGGCTTCTATTAATAATTTGCTCCTCAATTTAACTGAAAAAGTTGCTAAATTAAATCAAAAAGTTTTAGCTTTAGATAGATGTATGTCAGAAGGTTTTAACTTTAAAGATGAAGTTAACTTTATTAAAGTAATTATTTTTAAACTTTTTTTGATTTTTATGTTATTTTTTTTCAAACTAATTCACATTATTATTTTTACTTTCTAATTAATTTATTTTGTATTAGCTTCTAGCTATACATCACTTATATCATAGCAAAATTGTGACTAAAATTAAAGAATCTGTCTTTTCTATATTTGGCCAATCCCAGCTAGATAAAATAAAATCAAACACCACTCCTAAAGTAATATCAGATTGAAAGGATTCAGTTAAGACTTATCAATATTACTATTAATTATTTACTCCAATCGACTCTACTAATCCTAATAATAACTACTTTATCTAAATTCTTTTGAATACATGGCCTAATACTACTTCCACAAATATGCAATTGATATATATGATAACTATATACCAGATAATGCTTAATTCATTTTATGAAAAATTTAATATAAAGAATAATGTAGTAATATTTCGAATAAATAGAAATTTAATGAGTTAAATTAATTAATATTTTTGTTACTTCTAAATTTATTTAACTTGATTTAATTTTTGTATATTTCTTTAATAAGGATAAGTTAGCAGAAGGTACTGTATATCTCCTGCTAGCTACTGACAATGAAGATACTATGCCAGAAGATAAACTAGCTGAATTTGTAGCTTGTAAAACTAAAAAGAGTAAAAAAAGAATTAGAGTACAAGCACCTTCTAGCTTATGTAAAAAGAGTAAACGTGTAGTTGCTAAACAAACATCTATATTCATTTCTGATTCCCCTCATAAATTATATTCTTCTGTAATACCACAAGATAAATCTCCTCTTTCTGATATAAGCCAAACTGATTCAAAAGAAAGTACCTTATCTACATTATATCTGCAATAAATTATACCTTCTCATAATAATAGCCAACAATTTTTTTTTTTTTTTTTATAAATTCAGCAGTCATGCTTTAGCTTTATTAGGCTTTGTACAATTCCTCTAGAATATGTAAAATTTTACAACTAGGCATTTTAGAAGATAAATAATAAACTCTAAACTTGTTGGCAGATAGTATATGAGAACTATTTCTAAATGACAAACACCATAGCCCACATTATTATCTAAATTACAAGCTAAGACTAACCTAGTTACCAACTTGGCACCTATGTTCAACCTGCTATAGCAAGATTTCCTTTCTTCCGGACCCCTTCTGCAATTGAATATGACCTGGCTCTCAATAGTAGACCTTGCCACCTATTATGATCACCTCTCACTTCTTTCAGACTTCTTCTACCTAAGCCTGACAACATAATTAAAACCCTTACTCGTACATAAAAGTAAAAAAAAAATAAAGCCATGTTTATGAAAAACATAAACATTTTAGAAAAAAAAACACTTTATAGTGAGAAAAAAAACTTTTTAACAAATTCTAAAATAGTCTAACATAAATGAACAAAGATGAAAAAAGCAAAAAAAAAAGAAAAATAGCTATAACACACTATTATAGTATAAGGGTAAAAATTATATAATAATTGCAACTAATTACTATATCTCGATTGTAAACTTTCGGTTTAGCTTTGAGACTCGTTCCAGGCACTAACTCGACTTGGGTATTTCCTAAATAGGGGTGTAGATTTCTTCTCTGTACCGTAGTACTGTATTCGCAAAGCAACAAACACATGGTTGCCTTCTACTGAGTTCATCCCGATTTAGTAGGTGTAAACAATGCTGATCTTTTGAAGAGGGTAAGCCAAAAAGCCCACTTTTTGTCAAAAATTTTGGTGAGAATAGCAAAAAATGAAAACAAAAAAGAGACTTCTTGATATTACTTAAAAGAGATTGAGTTACTAAAAACAACAAAAACAGCCTTCCTCCAGATAGTGCACTACTCGAATTTTGTCAGTGAGTGATAAATTCTGAACTTGTCAGCAAGTAGCATATGAGAACTATTTCTAAACGACAAGCACCAGGTTTGCAGTAAGTGATAAACTTTGAAACTGTCGGCAGGTAACATATGAGAACTATTTCTAAATGACAGTTTTTGTTTTACAGTTCCTTCTTTCTTTGACTTATAAGCTAAGAGGTCAGTTTTTACTGTTTTTGTTGAGTAGTTTTTTCAAAAAAATTTGGACCAAGTGATCATTAAAAAGAGTTCATTTTTTTTGAATAATAGCCAACAATTATAATTTTCAAATAATTGAATTTACTTTTATATAATGTTTCTATATGATTTTGTTTTTTTTTATTTATGTTTTTATATTTTTTTATTTTTATATATATTATTTGTTTTTTTTTATTTATTTATTTAATATATTTTTATTTTGCATTAAATTAATTTTAATATAATATTATCATATATATTTTATAATATCTATTTAAATTTTAAAGAATTCGAAACATTTTAAAAAAAATTGAATTTAAAATTTTTAAATAATTTGAAACAGTTTAAATTAAGTTAAATTAATTAATTTTGATTTAATTTATATTAGACAATATTAATATAAAATATACTAAATTAGATTATTCAATTAAATTTTAAATACCCGGAAGGGATAGAATTAAACAACTCTCTAATGTCCAACCTGATTGTTGCTAACCTTTGCGGAACCGTGCAAGCCGGGTATACAGTGACTTACATAGATGACTATTCTTATGTGGTATTATCTCCAACATCTTTAAACCCCTATGATCCACATACCACACTCAAAACCAACAATGATCAACTTTCTAACTCATTATACTCATTATACGAAGTAATATCAGAAGAAAAATATAATAGTGAAGATTACCATGTACCAAACCACTTTTTTCATAAAACAATCACTTAAGTAACAGAAACACTTGGAACTATAGACCTTCTTACATGCTATAATAAATTTCTCTTTCATTATAAACTACCTCCACTTCATCACCCACAAAC